CTTAATACAATTATTGATATGGTTATGGTTAGGCCTACCATTTTGCTATTCGATTCCTTTTTTCCAATTTATTTTTTGTTAATCTGTTCTTCCTTCTTTGCTTTTTTGAGGTTAATTCAATATTCCTTAGTATTCCATTTTAGTTCCAATATGGCTTTTTACCTATACGTTTTTGTCATTACTTTTTAAGTGATTACTTACTTATGTACCTTACTTATCACAATCTTCTTAGAGTAAGTGTACTACTTCACATAAAGAATCTTACAACAATAAAAATTTCATTAACTGCCTCCTCCCTTCCTCATCCATTGTAGTATTATTGCCACATAATTTTACATCTATATGTTATAAACCACATAATACAATGTTATATTTTTGCATTAGAGTCAGTCATTTTTAAAGAAATTAAGAAAAAAATAGTCTTTTATATTTATCCACAGGTTTATCATTCCTAATGCTTTTCATTATTTTTTGAGATTCCAGTTTCTTCTGATGATACTGCCTTTCTGTCTGAAGACTTCCTTTAGTATTTCTTGTAGTACAGTTATATTGGCTTTCATTTATCAAAAACATCTTTATTTCAGTTTCATTTTTAAAGAACATTTTTGCTAGAGATAGAATTCTGGCTTGACTTTTTTCTTTAGCACTTTAAAAATATTGTTTCATCACCTTCTGTCCTCTGTTGCTTCTGGGGTCAAGTTAGTCATCATTTGTGTCTTGTTTCTGTATGTAAAGTGTCATTTTTGTCTGATTACATTGAAGATTTTCTCCTGATCTTTGGTCTCAGCAGTTTGTCTATGATAAGCCCAGGCATGATTTTCCTTACATTTATTCTTCTTAGGGGTTGCCTAGCTTCTTGGTTCTGTAAGTTAATATTTTTCACCAAATTTGAGAGTAGTTCAGATTTGGTTTCTTCAGAAAATGTTTCTGTTCCATTATCTCTCTCTTCTCCTCTGGTCTCTAATTACACAGATGTTAGACCAGTTAATATTGGCAACGAAGTTGCTAAAACCTCAATTCTTCTGAGTATCTTTTCTCTGTTCTTTAATTGTATAATTTCTATTGATCTGTATACAAGTTCACTAACTCTTTCTTCTATAGTTTCCAATCTCTTGTTAAGCCCAGTGAGTTTTTCATTTCAGTTATTCTTTTTATTTCTTTAAGAATTTCATTTGGTTCTTTTTTATACATATTGTTTCTATTTCACCGCTGATATTTCCCCCATGGATTCACTCAATATGGACATTTTCCCTTTGATTATTTGAATATATTGGCAAGAGCTTCTTTAAAACCTTCATCAGGTAATTCTATTCTCTGGGTCATCTCAGGGTTTCTATATTTTCCTCATTCTCTTGGCCAGGAGTCACATTTTCCTGTTTCTTTGCATGTCTAGTAATCTTTAATTGTATACTAAAAAGTGTGGGTGATATGCTGTAGAGACAGAAGAGTATTGATTTGGATATAGCAGGAAGTTGAGTGAATGGCTGATTATCTTGTTCTTGCAGCAGCTTCAATTTATACCTTGTTAGGGTGAGTCTGTTTTGGTTATACATTAGACTTAGGGAAGATCTTTATCCTGGGACACAGATATCATTCCTGAACTATAACTCTTTTAGTTTTCACTGCAAAGCACAAGATGTTTATTAAGCCTCTCTAAATTTCTGAGGTTTACATTCCAATATCTGTTTCTCAAGTGATAGCAGCTGAAATCTCTGTTCAATTTTTTAAGGCTTTCAGCTGTTGTTTTCTAGCAGGCTTCTTGGAGTCTCCCTTGAAAATGCACATTTTAGGGATCAGGCACAGATTTGAGGTAAGTTTAGCTTATATATATATTTGTTGTTTTGCCCCATAGATTCTTCTTTCCTGTCCTCTGACTGCTTCTAACACCTCAAACCAATGTCACATGTATTTCATATGGGTTCTAGCCACCTCACACTGCATGGATTTTTAAGCAACCACAGATCTCACCAGTACCATTTACTTCTTTCAAGGATTGAATAACTTCTCTAGTTTTTGCTTCCTTTTGTCATTGTTGTGTGTGTGTGTGTGTGTGTATTTTGTCCAGATTTATCAGTGATGTCTGCTACAAGCTACTCCACCATTCCTGTAATTACAGCTTCATCTCAGCAACTCTTGCTGGGTTTTCTGCATGGGTTGGTGGGCAGCAGAAATCATTAAGTCATGTATCTTGGTCTTCAAAATCCAAGAGCCTAAACTTTTTAAATAAAATAATCTAATTATATAGATTTGTTTATTTATGACTTCAGACCCAGAGTTCTGGTTGTTCAAGCTCCAAGCCCAGTACTCCAGTATTGAAATCATTCTTTTGGCTACCTGTATATAGGTATATATTGACAATGCTATGTTAATTATTTTTTCCCCTGATAATGACTCTTGATTTCCTTTACACTATTAAGACATTTTCACTCAGCATTTTCCAGGATTAGAGAAACATGGCATTTGGCTTTAATTTTTACCCAGTCCTCCTGGCTAAGATTTCCTGGAATTGCTCCCTGACTAGTCCAAGTCTTGACTGAAAACTATAGCTAAAAACTATAGCTGGAAGGAATAAATGGCAGATTCCAGGTGCTACTTGTTGTCCTCAAATGAGTACTGATCGTGGAGCCAAAAGAAACACAACCCATTGCCTGCTTTGGGGCTATTTTTAGAGTAGTTGCACATCTTTATCTTGAGAATTGGCCAATATTTTTAAAGTAGCTAATAAACAAAATGTATTTATAAAAAATATATTTCTCCATTATAAAAAATACCGTGCCCACTTCATTCCATTTGCATTAAGAAGAGTGCTTGATTAGGGAAGAACAGCATTCTCTGATCTCTCCCTGTCAGCTATGATAATTGAGCAAGACTTATATTCTTACCCATTAATATTTATACACTAATCTAATTATTTTCCCCTACAAATACAAGTTCTTCAAGCTTCAGCCTTTATCCTACATTGTCCAGATAGCCTTTGGTGAGGAACCTGAAGAGGATTTGAATTCCTCCACTAGAATATAATATTTTCAGTAAAAGATCATTGTCTTGTTATCAAAGGCATCAATAATTAAGAGAATAGCCCTTAGAGTGAGACAGACTCAAACTTCAAGTTCAAAATTTGCCACTTTCTATGCAATCTTTGGATTTTACACAACTTCCTGTAAATTGCAGAAAAAATAGAGATAAAAATAGTCCCTACCTCATTTTATTGTTGTGAGGATCAGATACAGTAAGGCATATAAGTCTGCAATAGTTCCTGCCATATTGTTATTATTATCATTGTTGTTATTTCTCCCCATAGTAAATGCCCAATAAGCAATTGCCTAAATAAGCACTTATTGGATTAAATAAATGCTACTTTGGTAAATGAGAAAAACACATATATTACAAAAACAAGTTATAAAAAAAGAACTAAGAAAGAGAATTAGTGAAGAACCTATTTTTGACAGGATCATCAGGGAAGGCCTCTTGAAGATGACATGGAAGCTGAGTCTTAAGAGAAAAAAAGGAGACAGCCACGCAAAAAAGGGGGAGAACCTCATTCCAGGCAGAGGAATAGCATGCACAAAGATCTTGCATATGAACAAAGTTCATGCATATGAACTTTTTAAGAACTGAAAGACCACCAGTGTGTTGAGACAGATGGAGTAAGGGCAGAATGGCACCAGATGTGATCAGAGGTAGCAAAGATCAAACACAGAGGGCCTTAGAGGCTGGAGTAGAAAGTTTGGCTTTTGGTCTAAGTGCTAACACTGAAGGGTTTTAAGCAAAATAATGACAAGATCATCAGACTTAACCCATGACTCACAAAAACCATTTGAAGGATGATAAGAATTTCTGAAAATATTTGGAACTTGTTTATGGAAACTAAAAGTATAAATGTAGAATAAAATATTTTCTATTATTACTGAAGTTATTGATTACCAACAAACCAAAAATCATTTTGGGATACTTAATAAAGATTTTTGTCTACTACTCTTTCTTTCACATATATCATGAATATGTAGGGAATACTGTTATCCACTTAAAATGGAGGAAGACAAGAGTTAATGAGCCAGGCAGGAAGGGTTAGAGTAACTGAGAAAGATGGCCATATTTGACAGCTATGAGGGCACAGAATGGGAGCACTTAATCTGAGCTATGAGGACCACAGTAGAAGAGGGATGATTTAGAAGATGCTGTGGGATAGATTCCTTATCAAAAGGAAGGGCAGGATTCCAGTATAAAATTGTGGGACACTGTAAGATGTTGGATATTCCAACACAAATGCCATAAGGAGACTTAAAGAAAATGTAGATTTATATATCAGATCATTATCTTTACAAGTTAATTGCCCCTCATGTTAACATATCTTTGTCACTGTAACCTTCTTCCTGGAATGGTGGGGTTTATTCTTTCTTGAAGCTGCTTTATTCTCCATATATCTATATCTATATCTATATATAGATATCTATATCTATATATGTCTCTTGCCACCGCTCTAAGGGCTTTCCATATATATCTATATCTATATCGATATAGGTATCTATATCTATAGATATCTATATATAGATATAGATATCTATATATATATATTTGTATTTGCCGCATATTAGTAACTCTCTTACTAATTAAGACCATTGCCATAAATATAATGAAGTGTTTCTATTTTCACATGATATATTGAGTAATTAACAATATTTCCTCTCTTAAGGAAATTTAGTCCCAAGGTAAAGCTTAGGGGAAAATGGTGGCATGTTCAGATTTTCATTACTCGTTCACTGATAATAGGTTAATTTAAGTGTACATAATAGCTGAGCTTTACAAAATGTGTCAGTGTTGTTTTTTTAAAAAATTATATTACTATGAGATTGTCATAAGAACAGCTTTGAAGTTAGTTTTAACTTTTTTCTTGGAGGATGAAGTATAGCTTGTCAAATATCGGCTATAAACTTCATGACAACTAATTATCTTTCATTTCACAGCAAGTGATAATAAGAGCAAAAATGGTGAATACCTACTGTTGCCAGGTAACTGCATCCACTGTGCTTCCTGCCACCTTCATGAATCTGTAAAGAACAGAAAGAACAAAGATATTGCAACTTAAAGCAAACCATATCCCCAGGGTTAAAATGAAATAAACTGAGACACAGATCAGGTCAATCCCTGGGCAGCTATGCTTTCTGAGAGGATCCGCAGCCACAATCATGGCCCATCCACAGCTATTGGAAGTTAAACTGTACAGAGGTAAAGGTAATCATACTTTCGGCTCTCCATACATCCTTTGCCATCTAGAAATCAAGACCTCAATTCAACATTATGTCTGTCTTCCTAAGCCCATGCCCAATAGCTCCCACCTCACTTTTCCTATGATCTAAACTTATCTGTTCCATTTCTTATTCTCCAAGAACTCTGAGATCTGCTAGGAAACAAATAAATGATTATATTTCCCAAGGATCACAAAACAATAGATGCCTTTGAAAAACCTCAGACCTCTCGTTTTGAAGAGATTGGGAAAACCCAAGATATTTGTACAAGTATAAAGTGCTACCAAATATGCTGCAATGATGAGCTGCTACACCTGTCTAAATGTAGAAACCTGGACACCATAGAGAAATCTAACCATTTCTGGAGCAGCTAAGTAGAGAATTGAGCATCATCTGACAAGCATGCTCAGCTCAAAAGGGCAACCAGACCTGTTTCCCTGCAAAGCACACAGCAAAGTCTTCCTAGCAATTCCCCACCCTCCTGCACTCCTAGAAGTTCCACTAGAACAAAAAGGCCAGGAGGCAGCATCTGAAGCCTTATAGATGCCACAAAGTATTAAGAGTAAGTGGAGGACAGGAGAAGGAAATGAGGAGGAGGAGGCAGTTTGGCTCCTCCTTGTCTGCATGGTTTTTGACTTTTTTTATTCCTCCACAACCATTTGCCAGCCCAGAAGCAAGAACTTGGGAAATGGAACATGTGAGTGATCAAGGCATGAAACTGGTTAGATGGGATCAATTATAACATAAACGGGGATTGGAGTAAATACATTTACTGAGTACCTACACAGTACTAGGCATTCACATGTATTATTTCCTAAAATTTTCAAAACTGCTTTGCTTGGTGAGGTGGATATTATTAATCCTATCATATAGATTACTAACTTCTCTACTGGCTAGAGAAGTAGCATCTCCAGATACCCCAAACAGCCCATTTTTATGGGGTTATGCTACCCCTCCTAGTAGCACTCCTTGGGAAGCAGGGCACAGGTACCTTCTGCTTTTGGAACCCATGGGTTTCTCTTGCTCATCTCCTCATCTCTTTTCTCCAGCCCAGGAAGAGTTCTTGAGTCTGGGAGGGTAGCTCCACTCTCCTCACTATTTCAAGCCCTGTGACAAGGATTCCCCCTTTGGAATTCAAAAGCCAGAAAGGTTTGTGCATTCTCCTTTCCATCCTACCAGGTTCTACCTCTGAGTCAATAAGCATACAACTAAGCTACCTGCTTGAATAGAGAAGAGAAAAATGGAAAAATGGTAAAATACAGGAAGAATGAAAACAGATTAGCATCCAAAATACAATCCCTGCCACATATATATTCTAAACAGTGGACACCTGATGATAATCTTACAAGTAGGATCACCCAAAAATAGAGGGCAGGATGAAATTTTGTACCCCCTCCCCAGGATATTTTAAAAATTAGAAAACCTAGACAAACTCAAATAAAAGTATAATTTTTAGAAAAGAAATAAAATGCTTCAAAATACATTTACATGAACTTTACTCCTCCAAGATAATTCCTAAAATCAGAACTAGAAATACTATTTTATGGAAAACTGTCTCCATTCACATATAAAAATAACCATAGTGAAAATAACACTAACATTTATAGTGCTTTCTCATTATAAAATTTTTTTGGCTTCTTATGTGTATTTTGTATAACCCTGGAAACAATTCTGATTCCAAATCCTACCCTCTTTTTAGGATCCTATGCTGCCTCCAGGCTATTTTCACTGAGGCTAGGAAGTACAGTACAACTCTGAGATGCAAAAAATAAGCTGAATTTTTTGCCTTCAGAAAATACTACCATATTTATCAGAAAAAGAGTAAAGGCCTGAGCACATTCTTTGTTTGTTGGCTTCCTCTCATGACTTGAGCATTTCAGATCCTATTTATAAGACTATATGTTGGAGCAAGTATCAAAAGGTGACTGATTTAGGGCCTCTGCTATAAGGCAACCACAATAAAGTTGAGAAGACAGACACTGAGACAATTAGCTATCAGAGTCTCTATATGCTGTACTACGTTGTGTACAAACTAACTGCTGTGGGACAGCGGTCAAGGGAGCACTTAAATTTACTTCTGTGGTCTTAGAAGAGGGATAATCATTGAGAAAAGCCTCACACTGTACATGACAGTGAATCTGGCATTGAGAGAAGGGTAAGGTTTGGCCATGAAGAGCAGGCTAGGAATAGGAACAGCAAGAACTGATCATAGTGAATGTGTTCTCAGGAATCCAGTGTGGCTGGTTGTCAGGTGATAGGTAAGGAGGTAGCAGAAGGTCAGACCAGGTTGTGATGCTATTACCGTTGGGACCTATCGGAGTTCGGGAGTTCGGTGTCTCCCGAATGGCATGGGGAAGGGAGAGGGATAACAGCACAAAAGTGTAGTTACCACTTTTTCTTGGTTCCTTCTCATTAATGCAGTGAAGAATCACAGGTCAGTGAGATTTGGAAAAGATTTATCAAAAGTATATCTCAGAAAGACAAAGAATGACCCAAGGAGGCACATGGTCCCAGTGAAGAGCTGTAACAGAGCGCTGTTATCACAATAACCAACACGAATGGGCCACAAAAGGCCACATGAAAGGCCACCAAAAGGCCACATAAAAGGACACAAAATGGACCCAGAAGTGGGAATGTCTGTATTATATCTGGGCCATGGTGGGGTGGTTCCAAAAGCATTCCTACGTGACTGGCAAGTGAGGTCAATTTGATTGACACCTAGCTACTATATAACTCTTTGCCTAGTGCGTATGTGCTTACCCAGAATTCAGTCTATTCTAAGTAGATTCATGAACTTCCAAACATAAAAATAGCATTCTAGTGAAGCTTAAATTGTAGGCAAATTAGGGTAGTACCTCTGTGCAGGTGTCTGTAGCCAGATTAGGCCAGCTAAGACTATGACCCTTCTTTCCCTTTAGGGATGCAAGAGGAATTCTTTAACTATTAACAGGGTGTTCTCTGGGCAGTCTTTAGGCTGAGCCCCTATTCCTTTGTTCCCCATCACTCACGTCTGACTAGATACTAACAATGTTAACATGTCTGGCCTTTATTCTTTAAGAACTAGGTGCAATTCCATGTCCTATTTATCTTTGTAAGACTAATACTCAACACATCACTGTAAAATATAGCTAGGTACTCCTTCACATATATTGTTGGATTTATCCTGTATTTAAACAAGAGAGGGAGTGTTGGGATCAGACTGGAATTTCAGGAAACTCACTTTGGCTATAGTAAAGGTGAAAGGAAATGGTGTGGACAAACTGGCAGATGAATATATAAGATAGGAGACTTTGAGATGTAAGAATGAAAAAAAGACACAATTGAGAAACACTGTTGAAGCACTCAAGAGGACTTGGCAGGTGAGTTTAAATGAGGGAGAGGAATAAGAGAAGATCCTGAAGTTTTAATCGCGGTAATGTCATTGCCCAGATGGGCAACCCAGAACAGACTTTTGATGCTGATGTTGGTGAATGTTTTCCAATCCTCTTGAATATGCCTCAAAGAACTTGAAGTAAATAAGTCATTGGTGGTAACAGTTATGAATTCACAAGAAAATTAGGAGGAAAAAAATAATCATCAATGTCCTGCTTGGCTAAAAGGCTCTGGACAGGCAATTAAAAACATATTTAATTTGGCATTTTAGAAGCTGGAAAATGGTTCTTCGTGATACTATAATCTAGAAATCCTCATATGCATTGGATAGTTTGTTCTGCTATACGTTGATAATTAAGTACTTAAATAACCTTCCATTATCAAACATAGCACTATAAAAGGATTGGGAAAACTATAGTTAGGAATATTTAAAGTAATGCTAATGTTTTCTCCCCACATTCCTATGCCATATAATCCTTAGTGAAAATCCACAAAATCTATAATTAAATATAAAATTTAATGGGTCCACATATAGAATATTATTTAGTTTATAGAGAAATACTTTAAAATTGAAAATAGAAAAAGACCTACCATTATCCTGGACAGGAAAATCAATTATTTTTCCTAAAGAAATTTATGAGTTTAATAAAATTCTAATAAAAAAAATCAAAGCAGATATTTTTGAAAGTTTATAAAATCATTCTTTCATTTGAAGAAAATAAGAAAATTCTGAAAAAATGGAATAATGAATGGAAATTTATCTGAGCTACCATTTGTAAAAATATACCATAAAAGCTGCAATAATTAAAACTTTCTTAGCTTGGAAATTAGTAAGGAGATCTATGGAACACAAGATTTTTTAAAAAAAATTTATACATAAGAATAGATTACATGAAAAAATTAGTATATGAAAAAAACAAAACACTTTTTAAATATGGGTTTGGGCTATTTGAAAAAAATTAAACTCAGTTCTTCACCTAATATCTTATTTTGTATAAGAAATCGAAATAGTAAAATATAGTTTAGTTTAATTATATTTTAATATTATTTCAATCACAATTTAATATTTTTAAACAAATAATATTATCTTCTTCACTTCAGTAGTATATTGAAGCAGCAGAAAAGTTGTTTTAGCTGACTTTTAGAAAACACCATTATATGATATTTCCACTTTCACATGAAAATTGCTATAAACTATATATTTTTTCCCTTTTAACAAAATGATGAGACCAACTTCAAACATATGGAAACATTTCTACACTTATTCTGAGGAGGAAAAATCTAATTTGCAAATAATGTCAAACAAAATATGTATTTCCAAATACTACGAGGATGACCAAATATATCCTTGTTTTTTGAGATGTGTAAAAACTCATCTAAAATGGGGTAAATGTTCTGTTTTTAGAAGTCCTAAATGATATTATAAAAAA